TGGCAATAGATTATGCCAGAAAGAACAATTTGAGAAGCACTAACTCTAAAGTTTCTCCAGGCATCATGCTGACAGATTAAATCTGCTCTTTGGTATTCTGTACCTTCATGTGCTCTATCAAAACGTACAATGTAATTCCACATAGGCTGTTGTTTTGTGCTTATTACTTTTTGCTTGCTGAAATAGAGCATAGTTTACATGTAAGACTAAATATTGTAACAAAATTAAAGGTTTGTTTTCTGAATAATTTCTGTCACTGTACATATAAGTTTTCCTTCAGCTCTTCAACATTTACTGTACTTATCAGATGTGTGATATTATCCTCAGGGTAAGAAATACAGTGAAATGAATTTGGTAGATAGACATCTGCAGTCATTCATGCTTCAATGCAGTCCTCCTTAAATTGGTGCCCTTCAAATGAGTCAGACAACAACTCCCATCATTCATAGATAAAGGCATATTTTTAGCTGTCCATTATATATTTTTTATTCTTTAGATACATATTTTACTTATCCTAGAACAACAATCATTTTATAAATTTGATTAAAACACATTTTTCCAGTTCATGGATCTTAACAAGCTTCTTTTACCTGCACTGACTTTCCTAAACAAGTACTATGTGATGTGTCATCTGATAACGCACAACTAATCATAATGGGCATTTATGCCTATCCATTTTTATTTAGCTACTGTCTCCATTTATTCAGGCGTCTTATTTTGTACCTACCAAGGAGAATCTCACACTGCAACATTCACAACATCTATGAATCTTTTGTCTCTTGATATATGTCATTTCATCCACACATATTATATATCTACAAGATTCATCCTTCAGACTTCATATCTACATCACTATTTTTGTATATTCTATATCAACTATATAATAATTAGACTAGGACTCTGACGAAAAAAGTTTGAACCCTCACTCAGCCTCACTGGGGCAGTGGAACTGGTGAAACCACTCCTTAAATATCTCACTTATCTTGAAAACCCTGTTAGGGTTGCTATAAGTCGGTTCCAACTTGACTGTGCATAATAACAACACATGTAATAATTGATTTATTATAACAGAGTTTTACTGATGATACCGTCTAGCAAGTACCATGGACTTCATGCTTTCTATATCTCAGAGAAACCAATGCTGCCATATTACTATTCAGTAATCAAACAGTCATTATTTATAATGCAAACTCTAAGTATTGGAGACAGAGACAACCAGCTTGATCCTTAGTAGTTGTTCTATAATATTCATGTGATTTCTCTGTAGCACATCTAGAGCCAAATACTATGTCTCCCTACATACTATATAGGTTTGAGCTACAGACGTTATTTGTTCCAGCCTCCTTGTTGAAGAATAATGCCCCCCCCCCAAAAGCTTAGGAACTTCATCTTCAGAGGCTATTCCCACCCTGCTAAAAATAGCCTGTAAATATTGCAGCTACACAAAAGACTCATGCAATCTGAACACTCTTTGCTAGTGTATCAACTATATAATAATTAGACTAGGACTCTGACGAAAAAAGTTTGAACCCTCACTCAGCCTCACTGGGGCAGTGGAACTGGTGAAACCACTCCTTAAATATCTCACTTATCTTGAAAACCCTGTTAGGGTTGCTATAAGTCGGTTCCAACTTGACTGTGCATAATAACAAGACATGTAATAATTGATTTATTATAACAGTTTTACTGATGATACCGTCTAGCAAGTACCATGGACTTCATGCTTTCTATATCTCAGAGAAACCAATGCTACCATATTACTATTCAGTAATCAAACAGGCATTATTTATAATGGAAACTCTAAGTATTGGAGACAGAGACAACCAGCTTGATCCTTAGTAGTTGTTCTATAATATTCATGTGATTTCTCTGTAGCACATCTAGAGCCAAATACTATGTCTCCCTACATACTATATAGGTTTGAGCTACAGACGTTATTTGTTCCAGCCTCCTTGTTGAAGAATAATGCCCCCCCAAAAGCTTAGGAACTTCATCTTCAGAGGCTATTCCCACCCTGCTAAAAATAGCCTGTAAATATTGCAGCTACACAAAAGACTCATGCAATCTGAACACTCTTTGCTAGTGCAGTGGATGAGATGGGAAACACAGCCTATTCAGCCTTGTCTACCTGGTTCTGTTATTCACACAACTACTCAGTGGCGTAGGATTACACCCTGAGGAAACAACTCTTGTGTCTTTCATGAAGGCATACAAAAATGCTCAAGTCACTACCATTTTTAGTGATCTTTTAGTTGTACAGCTCCAAGGATACAGAGACTGAAGAAATTAGTAAGAGAACTGAATTGCAGAAATCCCCAGTTGTACTAGTCTATCGTTTCCCCTATTTTCATCATTTGTTTTTATTTATTTTCTACAATAGTTCACTATTTCCAGTAATACAAACTTGGTGACATTCTTTTCTAAATACATTTCATCATCCATCTCCTTTGCCTTCTATATTATACATCTCTCTTTCATTTTGGGACAGAGAAGGGTCAATTCTCTCAATATTGGTCCATTTTATATAGCAATTTTGTATTTATGCTTCTAGCAGGGACTACCTCTCTCTATATATAGGCCTATCATCTCCACAGTGTTCAAAACAGTACCACCCTATGCAGATGTTTCGACAGCTATCTACTTCTGACAACCAGTTGACATGTAGTTTTAATCTTAATGTCAAAGCAGGGCACTTCAGTTGCCCAATGTCCTATCTTGTTGCAGAATTCATATACTGTAGTACTAGACTTACAAAATAGGCATACTGCAATATTTTCACCCAAAGAGTTGTAAATTACAGTCAATAAAACAATTATGCAATAAAAATGATCCAACACAATTATTGTGTTTTGTCACTCTTGTACCCTTTAATGTTAAATGCTGGAACAAAATTGTTCTATGCCATTTTTTTCCTGCAACCATGATGTGAACCATGAAGCAAGTGTTATACATCCTGGCTGTCAGTAGGCTGGTCTCATTCAGATTCTCCTGGGAAATATGTGTACCTTGAGCCCACCTCTACTGCTCACCTGGAATTCTAATTGGGTCACGGGAAAAACGAAAGTTTTCTTTAATATTTCCTATTAAGTGAGGATTAATGTTCTGATATCTTGTAAAGAAAGATATTTACATAAGTAATTCTTCTGACAATCTGCAGTGCTACACTAACAAATCTCTCCGTACTATATATTTTTTAAAACTGTAAAATAAGAAACTGCTTAAGAAAAGGATTTTATTATGTAATTTATTCTCTCTTCTCAAGTCTGCAAAAAAACCCTGAACTGACAGTAATAGGGATCAGAATAAGACATGAGGGAGTCGTCTTAAGGTTGTTGTGCTTGTTCAGTCTCTCCCCACCTCCCTGGTGAAGAATGCATGCTATGAAAGTAAATAAATGTTTGTGAGAAGAGATTTCTAGTGAAAATGCCTATATTGAGTGTGCTTTTTTTCTGAAAAGAAAGTGGACTGGGGGGAAAAAGAAGGGGGTTCAAACTTAAAATGTTCTAGATCATCACTTTATAGGAATTATTCTCCTTTGGGGAAAAAAAAACTAGTGTTCTGAATTTTACTGTTCTTAATTGTTCGTATTATCAGCCCTGAAACTGGAATTGTAGATTCTCATTCTGTCAAGTGGCCATTTATGTAGATGGAGACATCCTGTAGTAATGAGGCCCTTTCTGTTTAAAAATAGCATGTGTCAATTTTTCCTTTTTAAATGCTCAGAATTTACTGTGGTAATGAGTGACACACTCTGGCTGGGCTATGGAATGACACTCTTCAGCAAAGCCCTCTCGTAACCATGGACTCAGTATCTGGGAACAGTGTCTTATTGATTCAGAAGTTTGAACCATTTTCTTTCTCAGATTACATCTCCTTTACAATACCGTGCATTTTACCTCTTGCAGGAGAAAACCGTCTTCAGTCATAGCTGAAACATCTAACAAAACAGACACTTCCAGTCTGCAGTATAAATGCAAATTAGAACTCAGAGTCCACCATCTGAAACATCTTGCCCATTATCAGTGCAGCAACATTTCAGCACACAGGAGACATAACCATTTTCAATCTTAAACTTTCCGTGTGTTTTCTTGCAAATATCAAGATGAGATCCAGACCATTTTTAATAAGCCATGTGATAAACCAGTTCAAAAATAGATCTTCTCCACAATCTTATTGTTATTAAAATAGTTGATCGTGAAACTGGGGGTGGAGGCTGAAAATATTTTATCTTTATACAATAAACTATTAATTCCATTTAAGAGATTTGATTTGTTTAGAAACCAGCATCGGAGAAAGAAACAAGAGCTTCAGTGAGAAATTACAAACAACTATCCATTGAAACAAAGCTTCTTTTTTTGTACAAGTGGGTCTTTAACTGAGGCTAAATGGAGGGGGACATCACAAATCTTTTCGCAGTGACTTTTATGTTATCTCTGGAGACAGTCTTTTCCTTTCTAAAGAATACCGCTCTTTATCCACATTTGCACTTTTTTAAAGCTCTTAATTTCTGAACTGCCTCAATTGTCTGAGCAATTTTAAGAACAAGAGGGTTACTCTGGTGTTTCCCAGCAACTAGACCAATTTCAGCCAGCCCAGATGAGTCTCTTTATTATTCAGGACTTCCCATGACTGGCAAAATAAGCCATCTGCCATCAGCTTTCCTGCTGACCATTAATTAAGGGCCTCTCAATCAAAAGATGGGCCAGAAAACTGAATTGGGGGGGAGGATAAAGCGGAAAGCGATGTGGGGCGGGGGAAAGGGGGAGGAATCTGCGATGTCTCATAATAAGCCTTGCAGAGCAAATGGACCGTCTTGCCTCACCAGCCCAGAGGAATCGTGCCTGTCATCCAGCTAATGCAAAAAAAGTTCAATCAAATGCATTTGCCAGCAAGTTCAGGAATTATTCAGGTGGACTCGGCTGACCTTGCCCAGCCAGCCAGCCAGCCCGCCGTTCGCTGTGCACCAAACAAGGAAGGATGGGTGGATGATTGTCCGGTACCTTGGAAGAAGAAAGCTTTGCTCCCGTTGTGCAGCCCTTGGACTTGCAGCACGCCAGCCACGGAGTCCCCCAACTGCAGCTCGCTCAGCACGTCGATCTGCAACGAAGGGTCCACGCCAAAGCTGAAAACTTGATCCGGGGGAGAAAAACAGAGGAAGACCATGAGAGAGAGAGGGGGGGCAACTTTCCCCTTTGTTGCTTTCTCTCCCCGCCGCCGCCCCCATTTCCCCCCCTCACCTTCCCAGATTCCTCTATCCCAGCAAACCTTGGGCTCAGGTATATCTCCCCCGATCGGCCGCACCCGCCGTAGCCAGTCTCATTTACGTGACCTACTTTTCGCACGATCCCCTTGGCAAAGTTGTTCTTCTCCTGCATCCTTGGCGGTGTGTCTCTGTGCGTGTGTTGAAACCGATCCCCTACATCTATCCGATTCCCACCTCAGGGAAACAGGCTTGTACAGAAACGCGCCCGATCTCTCTCCCTCTCTTCCGCCCCCCCCCCGCCACCTTCCTCAGAGTTCCCCTCGGAAACCAAGCAAGGGCTTCCTCCGGAGCGACCGGGATGGAGGAAGCGTTGACGCCCCGCTAGCCTTACCTGAGCCCAAGCAGACGAGCAAGCACAAGGTGCTCAAACAGACCGGCGGGGCCTCCATAGCGCAGGAGGAGGAGGAGGAGGAGGAGACCGCGGGCTCAGTCCATAGTACTCCTCGTCGGGAAGAGAATCCCTGACTTTCGGAAGCGCTCGCCCAAGCCGCGAATGCCCCACTCCCGTCGCTCGGGGGGTCTCCGCCCGGCTCTCGCCCTCCCTCGTCTCTCCTCGCGCCTCAACAGGAGGCAGGGAGCCGCCGCCAGGGGAAAGGCGTCGGACCCGCAAGCGCCCGCAGCATCCTCCCCCGACGCCTCAGCCGGCGAGAGCCGCCGCCCCGGCAGAGAGCCGGAAGCCTCCCTTGCTCGAGGAATGGCGCTGAAGGCGGCTAGAGGAAGCGAGGCGCCGCCGGGGAAAAGCGCGGGGAGCTCCTTCGCCAGGACCTGTTGGAGGGAAGCCGGTGGAGACAATAGAGGGCGGGCGGGCGGCGAAGAAGAGGCGAAACGGCTCCTGTGGCAAGGAAGGCGACGCGCCAGCCCGTCCGCCTGCCTGCCTGCCTGCCTGCCGCTCGCCCGCTCGCTCTCCCCTCAGGGCTCCGGTCTCGCCGTCACCAGGCGCGGCAGCTGCTCTTGCTGGTGGAGGTGGCGGTGCCGCTGAAGCTCCAGGCAAGCTCCTCCTCACCCAGCCAGCATCAAAAGAGGCCGAGAAGGCGACAGGTTGGAGGAGGAGGAGGAGGAGGAAGAGGAGGAGGCGGGCCGGGCCGGGCTGGGCCACGGATGACAGGCTGGTGGGCGGCGGGAAGGAGGGCTTTCATCCCCTCCCTCGGGCGGGGAGCCTCGTGTTTCTCGGGGCAATTTCGACCAAAGAGGTGGCAGGGCTCCCGTCGGCCTCGAGACCGGGTTCCCTCGCGCAGCTCTTACCACCACCACCACCACCACGCCGCTCCTCCCACACACCTGGCAATCCCTCTGGAGCCCTACTGGCATGCCACAGGGCAGCTGGCTCCTCACGGAGAGAAGGCGCTGCCGTTGCCACCAACCTCATTTCTTCTTCTTCTGCATAGGGAGGGTGGCATCATGGCAGTGAGTAGTGGTTGGGGTAATGAGGCTGGTCCATGGGGGCAAATAGGGCACTGCTCCCTCCTGCCTCTCCTCTGGTCTAGAAAGACCCAATTGTGGGTCTTGATGGTGGCAATTTTAATTGTATTTGTATTTTAATCATTTTATATTTTATTGTATTGAATTTTAATTGTTGTAAGCCGCCCAGAGACCTTTGGGTAGAGTGGGTGGCATATAAATTAAATAAAAAAATAAAGGCCTTACTCCCCCATCTCCTGCCAAATGTCAGGTATAAGAGAGTACAAGGCGCCTGAGGCATTTATTACTCTGTTTGTTTAGATGTTAAGTCGTAAGAAGTGGCACTGCAGTGTCATTGCAAGGAAGGACTAAAGGGACAAACCCAGAATTAGTTGGCACTGTTGACTTTGGCTTCCCTTCCATTAGGCACCTTGCCTCACCAGTCCCATCACCAGCTGCCCCTTCACACTGATAGAAGATGTCAATAAAAATCCCTAACCAGGGGTTTGTTATTCTGAGGATGGTTTAATTTGAAGAAAGCTAGCCATGGAGCTTGCTTTCTTTTTAACGACTTGCCCACCACAAAAATACAACAAATGTTACGGTCAGCAAAGGACAAAAGGGACCCCCTCACCACTGCAGGAGTGTACTGGATACCTTGCAGTTGTGACCAGGTATATATTGGAACCACAAAACACAGCATCTACACCAGAATCAAAGAACATGAGAGACACTGCAGACTAAAACAACCGGAAAAATTGGCAGTAGCTGAACTTGCCCTGAAACAAGCTGGACATGAAATTCTATTTCAAAATACAGTGGTGCCTCACTTAGCGATGTTAATCCGTGCAGGAAAAAAACATTGCTAAGTGATTTAATCGCTAAGCGATTTCAAAAAGCCCATAGGAACGTAGTAAAACGCGTTTAATATGTTCCTATGGGCTAAAAACTTACCTTAAAGCAAAATTCCCCCAGAGCGGCAGCCATTTTGGGTGCCTCTACAGCGAGGCAAAACAGCGGTGGCCATTTTGTTTTGCGGTGGCCACTTTGGAACGGCCGATCAGCTGTTTAAAAAAGTTCGCTTTGCCATGATCGCTCCCCCGCAATCATCACAAAGCGAATTTTAGCCATAGAGGACATCGCTAAGCGATCGCTCCAGCGATGGCCAAAAGTCCATCGCAAAGCGATTTCATCGCTCAACGGAGCGATTGCTAAGCGAGGCACCACTGTACAGAGTTAGTGAACAACACCAGCAGTCATTATGTTAGACTGTCCAGGGAAGCCATTGAAATCCACAAATACCAGCAGCGCTTCACAAAAAAAAGAGAAAAGTCTGATGCTCAACAAAGCCTGAAAAACACAGCCTGCAAAAGGTCAACAAATTCTACCCAGCCACAAGGACCAGTGATCAAAGCACAAAAAAGACCTGTTAACGACACCCATCAATCACAGTGACAGATCATCTCTCCCCCTTATCACAACAATACACCCACAAGAAAAAAAAACACTGATGACCATAATCACCCAATCTCCTGAAAAGGACGAAAAGCTGATCCCACAGCTATAAATACTCAAGTATCCCACAAAGCTGCACCAGAGCACAGACACAGTTCTGACTCCTGTCCTCTGAAGATGCCAGCCACAGAGACTGGCAAAACGTTAGGAAGAAAAATCTCAAGAACACAGTCAGACAGCCCAAAAAACCTACAACAACTGTCTAACCTAGTATACAGTACTAATGTAATAATACATAATTGGAAGGCTTTAAATCTGTCTCTGGAAGATAAAATTTGAGAAGGGAAAAAGTCAATACACATTGAGTTTAATTTACTTTTTTAGGTGTGGACATGACACTTCCTTCATACCACCTCCCCCCCAAAAGCCCCCTCAGTGAAGAGCCCCCTTCCTCCCAGTCCCCTTTGTCCCAGTCCCATGCCTCACCCCTTCCCCAGTTCTCCTCTCTCACCCGTATTTTTTACCCCTCTTGCTTTCGCTCTCCATGACTCAAATCAGGCCTGAAGGCACCTCTCTGCCCAGGTCCTCTCTCCTTTCACTGTTATGCCATCGCCACGTCTGGAGGAATGGGAGGGTCAGGAGCAATGAAAGGCAGTGCTGTCACGGCAGCAGCAACTTTTCAGTACTGTTGCTGTTTTGGGCTTCAATGTTCCCAGCGTGCACTGTGCATTTGCTTCATTCAGGCCCCTTTGAGCCAGGCTAAGACTTTGGTCCAAAGGGCTGACATCAGTCCTCTAAAGGTGGATGAGGAAGAGCAAAGAGAAAAGAGTAAGAGTAGTGCTTTTGGAGGGGTAGGACTGATGCACATGCATGAAAGGGAAGTCCACTCAAAGGAGTACAGAAACAACTAAGAACTCTAGGATGCCTGCAGTTCTGGGTCAGATTTAAATGATCTATCTGTAGGCCAAGAGGATTGAAAGAAAACAGCATTGTGTATACCATATTTAATTTAATAAATAAAAAAATAATTGCAACTAAAAATAACCATGGTGACCGCCCCAGAAAACATTATGTGAACCCCTTGGGGGTCCCGACCCCCAGGTTGAGTAACCAGGCTAGGGACAAGCTGCTGCCACCGCTGCCAGTCAATTCATATCCAAACAAGATATCTATTGGGGGTACTGGAGCTTGGAACATTGGATTTAAAAATTAATTAGTTGAAATTACATGTTGGAAATTGGGAAATTAACTTCCTGGTGTTGACATTTAAATCTGACAATATTGAACTGATTAAATGAGCATAAATTAATTAAAAGCACATTACATTCACACTTCCCCTCCTAGTCCGTAACTCCTTTTTTAAAACTAGGTTTAAATTATATAGCCCAACCTTGGCCTTATAAATAGAATTGGATTGTAACAACCAGAAGCCTTAGTTAACACAGCTAAGGTACTTCTCATGGCTTCTGGAAATTATTGTCCAAGACATTAGACGTCCCAAGGTTAGAATCATTGCCCTATAAAAAGCCAATTGGCCACTCCTATCAATACTTCTTTGATGGTCTTGAACTATAACCTCTTGAAGCCCTGAGAAATACCATAGACTCTTAATCATGTCAACTAAGGTTGTTAAGTGTTATAGTCCCATTTATAAAACCATGGTTGGGGTACCTATTATAAATCTTGTTTTTAAAGTAAAGTGTAGACCCTTTACTCTTTGAGGAAGGGAAATATGGGCTGACATATCCTCTCGACAGAGGGGTATGCAAAACTAATATTTTTAATGAGCAAAATTCCTATTAATAATACTTCTTAAATTGTTATTTTCAAATATTAGATTTGAAGATCCTTATTCTGCTATTAGTCCAAAAAGTAATACATTTAATATTAATGCATTAATTTCAATGCTTTATTTTCAAAATCTGTACTGTACTTAATTTTTTAAGGAATTCCCAATGTGTGGGAAATGCTCCCTGAAATCCACAGGACATTATCATGCAATGTAAATAGGATCAAGAAAAGAGACTATTTACAGTTAAAATGCAGGCTGTAATGCTCCTTGAATGACCTTGGACAGTCACTAATTTTCCATATAATCTACCTCACAGAATTATTTTGGGAATGAAAGTGGGAGAGAGCCTGGTACACTGTTTTGAATTGTTTGGAGGAAAGGCAGAATTTAATAAATAAATAATATGTTTTTTGTGGTGAGGAAAAAATTTCAAGATAAATCATGATGCAAAACACATTGCTTCCAAATCAGGATATCTGGTCAAATTTTAATTGCACTGTTTTATTATGTATTTGTTTTCTTAAATATGAATAAAAATAGCACGTGAGAACATGTCAAGGTCATTCTATTTCTTAATATCGAATTGAAATGCACTCTTAAAACAGACAAATGACATCCACTGCATTAGGCAAAAACTCTTTCTGCATCTTAACTCCAGTCTATTTATTTTTAAAGAAAACTATAAATATTTTATTTGCTGTAGTTTTAGACATGTATTGCTTACTCGGAATCTGGATACTCCAAGTAACTTTAAGTTATACAAATCACTGACCTACTTACAAAACAAAACAAAACACTGATGCACTTTACAGTATCTGTATTTTGACTTTTGTGTTTATCTTGAGAAGCAAAGTTTTATTTTTCCAACAGGAGGGTCTCTTCAAAATCATATGCAAAGCACGATGGCATATAGTGAGATGGTTTTCCTTTTGTCATTGTCCCAAAAAAGCACTAGGTCAATATAGTTCTTTAAATTGGGATGGGGGTGAGAAAGAAAATCATCCAGGCGCAATAAACCATGGGCAAAAAGCAGGAACCTGGGAACTACAGACCAGTCAGCCTGACATCAATCCCAGGGAAAATTCTGGAACAGATTATTAAGTGGTCACTATGCAAGCACTTAGAAAATGACTAGAAGCCAATGCAGATTTGTCAAGAACAAATCTTGCCAGACTAATCGAATCTCATTTTTTTGATTGGGCAACCTCCCTGATAGACAGAGGGAATGCTCTGGACATAGTATATCTTAATTTCAGTAAAGCTATTATATTTTGATTAGCGAGCTAACTAGGTGTGGGCTGGATAGAACAACTGTCAGATGGATGCACAGTTGGGTACAGAATCATACTCGGAGGGTGATTATAGCATTCTCTATTTATTTGATCTATGGTCTATGTTAT